TACATATAGTTAAACGCCTTTTATTTTATTAACATGTAATTTAATCAAAATGAACTACCTGTAACAAAATTTTCATATATAGCTATATCAGCCTATTTAAAAAAAAATTCTTTTTCAAGTTTTTATTTCTTATAGAAATCTGTAGGTTAATTAACATATCAAACTAAACAAAAATCGATTGTGTAGTTGATTTAATTAAAAATCATTTTCACATAAATTCGTAAGGAGAGTAAAAAAAATGATTTTTATTTTATAAGTTAACAAGTTAAACTCAACTCTCTTATATTAAGATAATTCTGCGATTATTCACCCTCTGTCGGAGATTTTCAACACTATTTTTGATCTAAAAATTATATAAAGGTATATCAGGTAATATATAAAAATATTAAGTCACATCATGGCATGTCAAGCCAGATATGTTCATGTGGGCCATACATGACTATATACGGATATATCAGACCATACGTGGTGATATATGGAAATATTAAATTTTCGAATGTTGCCATATATGAACATGTTATCATATCAAGTTAAGCATAGCCATGTATAGCTTGATATGAAAATTTGCCATATAAAGCCATATAAAGCAATATATAGATGCATTAAGACACAAAATATATACAGATCTATCAGGCCATATACAGAGTGTCCCAGAAGTACCGGACGCCATTGTAGCATCTGATAAAAAAAATAATTCTGAGACGAAAAGTCCTTAGCCATTTTTTAATCAAACGCATAGATAATTAATTATTAATTAAAATAACGTCCTTTTACGCGTTAGAGAGAGAGAGCACCAGTGTCCAGTCAAGTGCGTTCCAAACGAAGACGCTTGCACGTGTGAATGTGTTAGTAAATGTGGGTGACTACGTTAGCTATAGTAGCTAGTTAGTCATACAGTTAGTTGTGTCTTTGTTTGGCATATACTTTACTGGACACTGGCGCTCTCTCTCTAACACATAAAGAGACGTTATTTTAATTCATAATTAATTTTATCTATGCATCTAATTAAAAAATGGCTAAGGACTTTTCGTCTCAAAATTATTTTTTTCATCAGATGCTACAATTGCGTCCGTTACTTCTGGGACACCCTGTATAATTTTTTGATATGGCTATATGTGTTGTCCAATGGACACTGTCCATATCTGATAATTTTTTTCGCGGTCATATTATACTTCTAAAGTAATAAAAGAATACAAAATAAAAATCTAGTATTTTTGTGTAGAATTACGACGTGTCTTGAAAGACATCTGCCGTCTGACAATAAAGTTTATTTCAGTCGACGGGTTAAAAGAAGCATCTTAGATGGTCGTAGAGTTCAGTCCTTGACCTTGTGTGCAACATAACTCGTGTACGCGTGTCATTACTCCTGGACTGGGATCTAAATAAGAGAAAATGGCATCGTCGATTCGATTGGACGCGATGCCGCCTTGGATCTCTGTTCTCTGCTATGCATACTCTGCAGTTTATTTCTGCCTAAAATAAAAAATAAAACTCCAATCCTATTGCAATCTTACTATACTGCACCAGCAACAACAATAACAACAGAAAAGCTGGACTAGAGCTCAGACCAATGCCGCTAAGTGATAAGAAGAGTGACGTTTCATTAACACTTAATGCTTACTGCGGAGATGAGGCCAGATGAAATATGGAATATGCAATTTAATAAGCAACAACCATCTAAGGCCACCTTATTCTCATAGATAAGAATTTTTAGTAGCTAAGACTGAGGACATTGATAAATTCATCATAAGGTGAATGATCGTGAGAAAATACACTAATGGAATAATTAAGTAACTGTTAATAAATTCATTCATTTAGAAGCAATTTATTCTTTTATTAAATATTTTATAAATACTAATAAATATTTTTTCGATGAAAATTTACATTTATTCATGTATGAGCTGAATGAACAAGATTTTCTGTACTCGTGTATCAGCGCACACGCTTTACTCGTTGTGTCAACCTTGTGGTAGCCTGAAGCCCCATAGCTCTGTACCCTTCTAACATAGTTAAACTTAAAGTTAAATTTATTTTCAGCAGATAGCGTTACATTTTCATTAATAGTTTTTTTTAATGATTAACTTTTTAAAAAAAAATAAAGGAAAGCAACGTTTAACAATGTACATTGGTAGAAAATTAAATATCTGTTAATAAATTCATTTATTTGGAAACAATTTATTCATTTACTAAACACAACTATATATTTTTTAACTGATCACCCTTAACAGGCAAACGTCTAAAAGGTATTCCTCTAACAGCAATGAGGGTGAAAAAAAACTAGTACAATTTAATTTCAAGTATCCAATAACGGCAAAATAATTTTATCGTTTTTAAATTAAAGCTCGAATAATTCTGTATAAGAAAGATATAATCTTTAAATAATATAATAATATTAAAATAAAATTAAACATGAACAAAGTCTGTAAAATTCCAATGAAGTTAAATTCTAATAAAGATTCGATAAACAGAAAATATTTTGAAGAACTTTATCGTCCTGATTTAAGTAGAAAAATTCTTAAAAAAAGAAATATATATATTAAAAAAATTAGGATGACGGTTGATCCTAAAGGCCATCTCTGCAACTTCCCGCTCATTTTGTACTTAAACGCTCAAAATTACATAATACGTTTTTGAGCTCTTAAAGCTCACAAATATGATTTTTATGTCATTTTGAGCTCTTCGAGCTCGAAACTCTAATAGCAGTTTAATAAAACACAATTTTTTTTATTTTCAAACGGCAATAACTTTTGAATGAATGAACCGATTTTCACGCGGTTGGCAGCATTCGACGCAGTTTTTGAAGCCTCATAAAGAATTTTCAAGTTTAAATCAATCGATCGGGGAATTTCGAAGTAACTCCAAAAAAACACTTTTTTCGATTTTCTTTCGACAACGATAACTCACGAACGAATCAACCGATTTTGACCGGGCTTGTGGTGATCGACGTGGTTTTTTGATCTTAAGAGCTGATTAGATTTTGGAATTGATCGGTAAAGCCATTTAAAAGTAATTCCAAAAAAACCACATTTCAAAAAATTTTTTTGGTAGTTTTGTTGAGATTTCTCAAAATCTACTGGTTCGAATCGGTCCAAATGGTATTCAAAATCTAAGTTTGGTCAAGCCCTTTCGAATAGCGCCAACCGCAAAGGAATCGGTCAAGCCGTTCAAAAGTTATAAGAGGTCACATACATACATACACACACATGCATACATACACACTGTAACTGAGTGATCGTTACTCGGTAAATTCCCCTATTTCGGTACCCAGTTATTTATCGACTGCTCACAGTGCGCTGTGATCTAAAGCTCGTTTAGAGCTAGTAAGAAAGGCCCCAAGGTGGAGAAGCCGGCGTAGTGGTAGTGGGGAGAGCAGAGGAAGCAAGAAAGGACGAGCAAAGTTTGGTAAGACTCATTGTGACTGAGTGGCTCGAATGGACGAGACGCAAAAATTTCTAAAACATCCAGCTAAGGTAATTATTTTTATTCTGCTTGTCCAACGTGGAACGAAGCGATAACATTTTGTTAATTTAATGCTTGCTAGGCCTAATGCCAGCTTGGTTAGATTAACTTTAACTTGTGATAATTTCTTATGCTGATTTGCGATTACAGGCGGAATAAATACCCAGAGAGCGAGTGATGGTGACCAGAGTTTGCCGCCAAATTGAGAACACCTCACCAAGGGAAAATCCACGCCAGTACCCGAAGACGAGGAGTTGCAGCTCACTGTTAGAGTGCAGATAAAATTATAAGAAAACTCCAAGTATAAATAACGAGTCTTAATTATTCCTCGGGTCTGCGGCGTCAGCCAGGCAACACGTCAGTTGAAGGTCACCGCCATTTTGTGCTCAGTCACAATCGTTAGTTAAATTAGTATCAGATTTAATATTAATATTAGAGAAATTATAAAACAATTGATCCACAGATTTGGTAGAATCTGGCGATTACATTGTAGTACCGCTACTTCTACTAGTTCAAGCCACAGAGTAAAATTCAAACTTGCCGCGGGTAAGCCTCCCGCGCACTCTGGTGTATACATTCTTCATTCAGTTTAAAGCTAACTTTTTAATTCAAAAAACTAAAAAATAACAAAAAAAAAATTTTTATGCTTATAAATTACTTGGGGTTGGGATCACTCTTAGAGGAATGGGAGGGATGTAATCATCTCGAACGAGACTCTCATATAATTGTAATCGAACATCACTTACAGGTAAGTTCGTTTGATTTTCAATTATATTTCGAGTCTCGTTCTTCGAGATTACATTGTAGATGTTTAGAGATCTTGACTGTTATGATTTATTTAATAATAATGAAACCTAACTTGCTAAGGAGCCTTCTGGTATCCTGAGTATTTTCTAGGCAGCTTTGGAAAGAATTCCCAATGCATAAGATGTCGTCTAGGTAAGCTGTTGATATTCTACCTCTTTGTCTTAACCAATTAAGGACCGGTTTTAATATTTTCGTAAAAACATAGGGAGCTGTACAGAGCCCAAAAGGAATGCATGTGAATTCATATAGACAGCCTTTGAAAATGAATCGTAAAAATTTTCTACTCGAGGGTCTCACCGGTATTAAAAAATAGACATCTTTAAGATCTAAAGTACATAAAAAATAATTTTTAAAAATTAATTTTATAGCTGACCTCAGGTCTTCAAGTTTAAAATGCGAAGTGTTAATGAATTGATTTAAAGTTTTTAGGTTTAAAATAAACCTTTTAGATCCATTTGGTTTAGGAACTAGGAAAAATGGGGATAAAAATTGGCCCTCTACTGGTTCACAAGCAACAATAGCACCCATTGCTAACAATTTATCAATTTCAATCTGAATTGACATTTTTTCTGAGACAGAAATTTTTATTTCCCTGGTCCAGCTTAATGCCTGAGGAGGTTGAATAGCAAAAGGTATTTCATAACCTTCAACACAACTTAAAATAAATTTGTCGGTAGTTATTTTTTCCCATTCATGGAGAAAATTACTAAGACGACCTGCTATTGTTCTTACCTCTATTTCTTCCTGTCTTGATAAGTTGTTCGATTGGTCTTGGTCTGGTTGGATGTATTGCTGTATGCTGATCTGCTGCTCTGGGGATTCGACTTAGAGAACTTCTGGTGTGAAGTTCTTGGGCCCACATACGAATTCCCCTGATTTGGATGTGGGCTCTTCCAGTTTAAAGATCGCGAGGTGACAGGCTTTAGGTTTGTTTTTGTAAATTTATTGAATGAAGTAGTCGTGGACGTAGGAGGAGTGTTTTTCATTTCCTTCCCGATCTTCTCGATAGACTTAACCGCCTTGATTTTTTCTGTCAATTTTTCGCCATAGAGAAACACACCTGGTTTCGTTTTTTGAAGCAGTTCTTTCATAGGCTTTGAAAGAACCGGCGAGATAAACGATTTTCTGGCGGATGATATTTGAAAATGTAATTGAGCAAGCAATTTTCCTGTGTCTGCGAGTCTTTCTAAGAGTACAAGACGATCTACTGGCTCTTCGTTGTCTTTTAAGATCAGGGAAATGGAATCTCCTACAGCCGACATTGCAGAGCCTACTAAGTTTTGTTCTGCTGTAAAAAGCTTATCTCTTTTTACGCCAGATTCATTTAATGTGACCAGCACTTCTTCATTTAGCTCTGGAGCTTCTAAATTAATATTCCCTTTACGAGAATATTTGTCTAGTACTGACTCTTTGCTTTCTTTTGGAAGACCTTCAGATAGCCAGGTAGGCCATCTAGCTACTAGACTCGGATGTAAATCCAGATCTTTTTTATTTCCCGCAGTTGGGTCCGCACCTAGAACTGTTTCAACGTCTTCATCTAAAACTTTTTCTTTGCTGAGATCAGTCTCAGCTGATGACGTTAATGTCGGGTCTGATTGAGCCTCCGTCTCGACAGCCTCTTCCGGAGAATCAGTTTCTGTATTAGTAACTTTTTCAGATTCTTTTGCCGATTCAGCAGTATCGGTTTTCTCTTGATTATTAGGAGGTATGTTTTCTTTAGATGTTGAGGTTATCTGACCACCACCTGAAAACATTTCGCGATGGTTATCAATAGCACTAGAATTTATTGCCTCTTTCGTGCAAAAATTACTAGCTCAGAAAAGCACATCAGTGTTTTATACCTGTTGAAAAAACACTGATGCCCACGAACAAATGTTCACGTATACTTGTGTAAGTGTCCATATATATATGTATGTATATACTTTCTTGCTGGACACATGCACATACTTGTATACATAAAAAGAAAACAATTTACTTGTAATAAGCCTGTGTATGATCACATAAACTTACCAGCTTTTTCAAAATGTTCTTGTGTTGACTTAATGAAATCTCCAAGCACGCGTTCTAACCTGCAAATTCTTTTCTCGATGATATCGTTGTCATCTCGTTCTCTACTGCGCTTTTTACTCTTTCCCATATTGATGGAAATATTAAAAAATTAAGGACAATGTTTTTAATAAGATTCTTTAATTTGTTACGCAATATAAAATTATAATTTATTAAAAAAAAAATTTTCTCTGAATGTAGCTTTGCTAGCACAAAAAACGTAATGAAGAATGTATACACCAGAGTGCGCGGGAGGCTTACCCGCGGCAAGTTTGAATTTTACTCTGAACTTTGTGGCTTGAACTAGTAGAAGTAGCGGTACTACAATGTAATCTCGAAGAACGAGACTCGAAATATAATCACTACAATAAGCTACAATGTATACAGAACAAATGTTTAAAAATGATAAATAATGCAAAACCCAGAACAAAAATAACAGATTTACATAAAGAATTAAATATGCCTACGATTAAAGAAATAATCAAAAGTCATACTATTAAATTCTATGAAAATAAACTCAACACACTAGATATTCTAAGAAATATATGTAACATCGAATATAATCCATGGAACAAATACAAAGTTCCTCATCAAATGTTAATCAAAAACGAATAAGCCAAAGGGCTACCATTATTTATGTATATAGTTTATTTAGTAAGTAAGGCTTTGTTAACTAGTGAGTAAGGCAATAAACGATGATTAATTTAGGTTTTAATAACAATTTTTCCTATAAAAATAAAATAAAATAAATATTGAATCAAAAATTAACATACTCTTTACAAATATATGTAATAAATTTTATTATAAGTAGAGTCCATCAGGACAGGAATTATAAAGCAACAATATTGTATACTACACTTGTAACTTTAAATATATTAATAAAAGTTTTTCGAATAAAACCGGAATAAAAATTTTTTTACTCTATTACAGAGTTTACCTGCTTTTGAATAAAGTTGGTCAAACAACTAAAAATACTAAAATAAATTTTATATTAACTACGAATTAGTGTTATAAATATTTTTTAAAAAACAAAATAAAATCAGAATGATAAATTTTATTTCTCCTTCTGGGTTGTCTACATCTTAATATGGCCATATCAGACCTGATCAGGCCATATCAAGTCTGATATGGCCAATTTCCATATCGCGCCTGATATGGACGGTCCATATCAGGTCTGCAGAATATTTTTTCACGGGAAAAAACTAAAAACTCAATGGTCTGCCGTAAGTTTCTTATCCAAGAACTGTAAAAATTTGTATATATACAAATTTTTACAGTTCTTGGATAAGAAACTTACGGCAGACCATTCTTCAAGAATCGTCGAAGAAGCGCTCCGGATATTTGACCTAGATTGTTCGGCAAGACAGGGGCCAGAATTCATCCAGAAAATTGTTAAAAATGGTGGGGCTCTCCACCACTACTTTTAGAGAAGGCTCAGTTGCAAAGGCAGAAGTTTTCATTGTTATTTCAGTGCAAAAACAATGCGCACTGTTAGTCTTTTTCGTTTCTCGCACAAATCTAGGTCAAACTCCCTTACCAACAATCTGGTCAAATTCTGGCTACAGACTTGTCACTAAGCTTGAACAAGTATTGCTCGAGATTCTTTTTTAAAATCTTGTCCAAGTCTGTCGCCAGTTTGGACAAATAATCTTGGTTAACTCTCTGGCTCAAAAATTATCCGACAGTGTTTCTAGAGCTTGGTCAACTATCTGGCTAAAGAATCTTGTCCAAAACCAATCTAAAGCAGTTGTAACATAAAGACGTTTTGCCTAGGATTCTTAGTTTAAAAATATCTCTAATAATTTACACAGAATTTCAAATTTTATTTTTTTATAACCGATTTTTCTGTAAAGAAGTGTCTATTCACACGTAAAAAAATTCTGATACACGCAGCGTAAATATAAGGACCTTTACATTCACGCAGCGTGGATTTAAGGCCCTTATATTATCGCGGCGTGGATTTATTAGGGGTTTTTTACGTATGAATAGACATGTCCTTTCTGTAAAACAATTCATACAAATAATTATTATTGATCTCTTCACGGAGAAAATTAAATGATTGGAGTTATCATACTAAATTTATAGTTGCAATCATCTAGGATGATTAAAAATTTTTTCAGATTACAAATGGTTAAAATTACAATTTTTTATAATTGCAGTTACCATTTTTTATAGTAACAGTTACCATCAGGATGATAACAGTAACCATTAAGATGATTACAGCTACCATCAGGATGGTAACATTTACCATCAGGATGATCATGTTTACTATCAAGAATAGCGATAAATATTATTAAATTCTATAAAAAAAATTAGGAATACGGCTGACCCTAAAGGCCATCCCTGCAACTTCCCGCTGATTCCGTTAATACCTGGCCGCTTTTACTAAGCTCTTCGAGCTCAAAAATACGATCTGTGTGTTGTTTTGAGCTCTCCAAGCTCGAAAAGATACCTTTTCTATGCTTTTGAGCTCTTTGAGTCTGATAGAAGTTTCATCAAACACTATTTTTTGAATTTTCAAACCGGAATAACTTTTGAATGAATGAACCGATTTTGACCAGATTGGCGGCGATCGACGTGGTTTTTCGAGGTTGAGAGTTAGTTTTTTTAATCGATCGGTAGCGCCGTTTGAAAGTTATTCTAAAACAACCACTTCTGAAAAAAAATTTTTTCCTATTTTTTTTGAGATTTCTTCAAATTTCTCAAAATCTATCGGTCCGAATCGGTTCAAATTGACAGGAATTCTAAGTTTATCGAAGCCCTTTCAAATGACACACACACACACACACACACACACATACACACACGCGCGCGCGCATACACACACACGCGCATACACACGCACACGCACGTACACATACACACACACACACACACACACACACACACACGCACGCAAGCAAGCAAGAAAGCTAGCACACACACATGCGGACACACGGACACACACACGGACACGGACACACACACGGACACGGACACGGACACCATCGCGGGAATAGTCAGAAAGCTTCCTAGGACCTCGAAACGTCGAGATTTGATGAAAACTAAAAAATAACGTATATTTTCGTTTTTAACCGTGGCGCTGATGTTTAAATTCTACTTACTTTAGATGGTAACTTTAATCATCTCTGATGTTAACTACTACAATTTCTGATGGTAACTGTAACCATCTAGATTGTAAATACAACCATTTAAAATGATAATTGTAACTATCTCTAAGTAACATACATGATTGTTACAGTTACCATAAATATGATTTATACAATCATACAGGTAGTTGTCACTACCATCGGGTTGATGGTAAAAAGTTTTACCATAAATAGATAGTAACTGCTATCATTTAATTTTCTCCGTGTTGAGAATAAAAAAGTTTCAAGAATTTATGTTTTCAATTTTCTGCTCGGGAAATCTTGAATTTTAAAAAATAAGAAAGTTATTGGTTACAAAGATCAATTTGTTATCAAAACAATCTTTTCAACTTCTACCAACTTCTAGGAAAAATTTTTTCTACGAGGATGCGAAGTTCGTGTATAGCGATTTTCCTCAAAGGTGTTAACGGCATTCTGTCCAAAAAATAGACACCGCCTAAAAGTTTCACTCCATTTGAAAGTTTTTTTTCTACAGCTTCGATAATTTCTCCTTCAGATACCTGCAACCGATGATAATTAATTAATTATCTATAACTGTATTTTTTTTATTTTTTAGAAGAAAAATTTTTTTGATATTAAAACTAACTTCCATTCCAGGTTCTTTAGTAACAAAAGCCATTGGAATTTGACCATACTCCAAGCTTGGCTTAGCGACGACGGATACTTCAGCAACTCCTGGAAGACCTTGTATTATTTTTTCTATCATTTCCGGTACTAAATCAAATAAATCGCATTTTATTGTATGCTTAATTCTAGTGTAAAAGAAGAAAACACCGTCGTTGTCATAATATACCAAATCGCCACTGTGGTACCATCCTGAAAAAATAAATTAAAAATACTTTTCAGGATTGAAGTTAAATTACAGGTTGATCTCATGGAAAAAAATTTCTGACAAGGCGTTATCAGGCTATGTATGAGAGCAGAAAGTCATGGATTGTAATTTTTCAACTTTTTTATTTTTTCTAAAAATGTGACATAAGTGACACATTCTAGTCAAAAGTATGTCTATAATAGAGATGGGAGGATAAATCAGATGTAGAGAAATTATACTGTACCTTTAGAATCAATAACTTTTTCAGTTTTCGAAAGATTTTTCCAGTAACCAAGCATTAATCTCGGGGTTCGGATCCATAGTTCTCCTCTTTGATTCGGTCCCAAAATTTTCTTAGTGTTCAGGTCAACAACTTTAACTTCCGTATTGAAAAATATTTTTCCACAAGAATCAAATTTATCATACTTGATTAGCCCGGTTAGCACGGTTCCACATTCAGTAGCACCTATCAATCAAATCCACAACAGAATCAACGGAATATCTTTTTACAATAGAAATGAAATATCATATATACCGTAACGAACATAAATATCAGCATTCTTGAACAATTTACACAAATTTTGAATCACTTCTCGACTAGTACTCGCATCACCGTAAGTCACCAAATCAACCGATGATAGATCGTACTTTTCTATGTCTCTCAACTTAGTAAATTTATTTACTACAGATGCTCCCATCCATAGTCTAGTTACCTAAAACATTTGAACAATTATGATTTTTACGTCAATTTTATCGCACTATAATAGTCAATTAGGTAATAAGGTCGCACAGGGGTGATTTTCCGACAATGTCGATGTTGCAATACGAGCCTAAGGTTTGTAGTGCACGGAAAAAAATTGATCTAAAAATTATAGCACAAATGATACCAAAATTGCATTTCAAGATCCCTCGCGACCCTGTGATCACTCTGGAATCACTCTGGAACCAGCGTCAGAGTGGAAACAGTTTGAAAATATATTGGTTCCAGTATGTTTCCAGAATGGTTTTGTGCGCTGTTTTCAGAGAGGTTTCAAAGTAGACCCAGAATGTTTGCAATGTTTTTCCAAGATAGAAATTAAATGGTTTCGAAATGGATTTTAAATGGAATCAAAGTGTTTTCAGAGTGTAACAAGAAAAATTTCGCAGCGGATCCAAAATTGTTTTAAAGTGGTTCGACTATTAATTTCAAGTAAATCACATTGGATGCAGTAGTGGGTCCACAATAGATTCAAAGTAGAACTAGAGTTTCTATAATGCATATATATTCAGCAATAAAATTTTGATTTTAATTATTATTCAGGAAGTTTATAAGTTGATAAAATATTATTTAATTATTATAATTGTATTTTGAATTTTATCTAAGCATATCTCATGATTTATTTACCATTCTTATAACGAAGAATGGCAAATAATACGTTTGAATCAATCGGAAATAAATCGGAATTAAGTCTAATATAATTGATGATCGGTTATGAAATCATTAGTTATCGCTATTTTTGTCGTTATATTTACAACAACCGATCCGTATAACAGCTACAGATTGGAAATTTCGTATTATTCTAAAAAATCACGATGTAAAGAAATTACTATAAATGTGACAAATAGATATATTTATTGTTATGAGATCATCTAACTGCAAAGAATTCAACTAGCATGTACGCTTCATGCATTGTAGTAGTAAATTAATTACCGGAATTTTTTAAATTTGCCTAACAAAAAAAAGTTTGATTGAAAAATTCAATTTTAATATAAATAGATACGTCGGATGAATCGACACAACATAGTACGGTTAAGAAGTCGAGAAAATAATCACTAAACCGAGGAAAATAATTAAAATATTTAGATTTTTAACAATGTAAAAACGATACATTAATAAAATAATTCAATCGTTGCCCCTAATACACTTTACGGTTGTTTTCATCCAATTTTATTCAACTTCTGATCTTTTAAAAACAATCCAAAAAAACCTCAGTGCAAAGTCATAAAAAATGAGCCAAATTTAGAAATTTTTTTTTTTTCCACCCGATGAAAAAAGATTTTGTCTAATCATATATAATCATGCATAATTGTCTATATATGATCAGATCCAAAAATTGGCCAGGTCTTATCATATATAACTTGATCTGATTATATATGAACAGATATGTTTATAGATAATCATGTATAATCACTTATATATGATCAGATCCAAAAATTGGACAGGTCTAATCATACATAACTTGATCTGTTTGTATATGAATAGACATGTTTATATATGATCATGTATAATCATACATAATCAGATCCAAAAACTGTCCAGATCTAATCATATCTAACTATATTCCGTGAACAAATATTTTGATCAGACCTATTATAAAAATCGGCAATATCAGACTTGATCAGGGTTGATATGGCCATATCAAGATGTAGACAAACCTGAAGCCTAAGTAAAATTGATGAATAAATTTATAATTATAATAAAATTGATACAACATTCATTTTAGTTGTTTGTACAACTTAATTCAAAAACAGATACACTCTGTATTAGAGTACGAAAATTCTACTCTTTTCGGAACTTAATTAAGACTTCAAAGTCAAGTATCTAGAAAGGAACAATTCTGCGGCCATACGCCATCTATCGAAGACTTTTAATACTAGTTTCGACAGTGCGGAACATGTGATTGCTCCATGGTGATAATTTAATAAATAATTGATTAAAGCATTGATAATTTAATAAATAAATGTGGCAGAATGAATTTATATTGCTAACAATAATTGTATATGACAAATAAAAATAGTATTGTAGTAGAAATAAAATAATAATAGAACTTATATTACAAATAAAAATTATTTGTAAAATAAAAACATGGTCGTCACAAAATTATCTTAATATATTTTTATTTTTTAATTATCAAAACTTGTTTTGCCTAGAATTCGTAGTTTAGAAATATCTCTAATAGTTTACTCAGAATTTCAAATTTAATTTTTTTATAAACGATTTTTCTGTAAAGCAATTCATACAAATAATTGTTTATCTCTTGAAAATAAAAAGGTTCAGGAATTTATTATTTCAATTTTTTGCTCTGGAAATCTTAAATACTAATAACTTATTAGTAATAACTTATTACTATTGTAACAGGGTAAATTACCCTTAATCGATAAGTCGCCAGAGATCGATAACTTTTTCGACTAGCATTTTGGCGCATCGATCTTCGGGCCTAGAGAGAGAGTAGGAGGGGGTATTTTGGGGAGTCATTAAATAGGCGAGCCATGCGTTGTGTCGGCAGAAGTAGTGTAGTGCTGAAACGAGAACATCGAGGAGTCCAAGAAGGAAGCCATTAGCAACCAAAGAGTTTCTTCAAACCAATTTACACCAGGTATTGGACTTTGGTAGTGATGAGCCTGGGGGTTTATACCCGGCTCAATTTCCATACTACTTCCCATTTCTAATTTAATTAATGGTAATTCAGTTTGTTTAATAATATTTTGTAATAATAATTAATTGCTTTAATCAATTTAATTTGCTAGCTTTGTGAACAATTCCTCCTGGGGATTTTACACCCGAGGAATGTTCTAGACCTCTTGGGGTTTGGTCGTGAGTATCTAAATTATTAATTCAGCTGGTTAATAATAATTAACATCCTTGATTGGCTTTAATAAATTCATCTTTTATTAATAAATTATTAAGATAATTTCTGAACATCGAGAAAACATTCCAATCACAGCTCACGACCAGTCCAGCGTCAGTACCCGAGGTCAAGCTTGCTACGCAGTAACGGCGTCCATTTTGAGCGCGCAAATTCCTTGTGAATTTTGTGACGCAGTAAATTTATGAAATAAATACCTGGACTATTTTTATAAAATGTAGCAATTGAATTACCACTTAATTAATTATTTTATTGATTTATATTCTGATTATTTATGAAAATCAATTATATTACATTTGGAACAATTTTAATTACCGGAATTGATTTATTGAGAAAACTGCGACGCATTTAGAAATTTAACAACCGTAGATAATTTTTGGTATTTATTTTCTACACCGAGATGAACTATTAATTAACAAATCGTCATTCTCAATTTATCAGAAAATAATTATTCTACGCGTTATTAATTATTGAGAATTAATTATTAAATTTCGGCGCAGATAAGACTGATACACCCGCAGTAAAACTTCAGGCACGTAATTTTCATATTGAGTAAAATTATAATTGATTATCTAATATAATGGCCAAATTCTGCTTGGGGAGTCTTATATTGAAATAATGTCCTGGAAAATTTGTCAATAATTTAATATCATCATTCCGGTAAAATTCTTTATAAAACTAATTATTTGTGTGGATTAAGTCCGAGTAAAATTTAGTTGAATTTACAAAAAGAATATTCTGAGAATTTAGTTTAACGTGCTGAGTAACGCTCGTGTTAAATTTGGAGGGAAAAGAAGCGTTGGTTTTAAGCCGGAATTTTAAGAAGTAAAATTTGTTAATTTGTGAAATAAATCATGAGTTTTATTCGCGAGCTAATGACTGATAAATTTTAATAAGAAATTAACGTTGTAAATTATTGGAGCTAATTTTGTAAATTTTAGTTAGTCAAAAGTAAAGTAGAGTCAGTGTGTGTGAGGATAGTGTAGGTTATGTGTGTGTGTGTGTGTGTGCTACCAGCGTTCCTTCGCATACGATTAGTCTCTTTGCAAGGTGTTTCGCTGGCGTAGAAGCCGTTGTATAGACGCCAAGTAGGGTACAGCAGTAGTAAGGTAGCAACTGCAGTATGGTCGCTCCATAAGAGGGTACTGTGGGATTAAGCATTTTTGGTAAGCTCACGGGAGGAAATCGGTCTACGTTTAGTCACTGGGTCGACTACTTTCGTGAGCCGAGTTAACGAGCCTTTGCATACGATTAGTCTCTTTGCGGGGTGACAAGGCGGTTGAGTCGTGGAGTTGAGGTTGAGTTAGTGGTAGTCGAGTTGAGGAGAGTAGTTATAAGTCGTAGTATTAAGATAGTTGTAAGTGAGTTGGGAGTACGTGCAAGCGCACGAGTTGTTAACTTGTTATCTTATTTTGTTGTGTTAATAAATCTTGGCCAATTGTTGAATAAAGATTTAATTATTTCCAGCACACCTTCCTCCACTCTCTCTCTCCCTGTAGATTAATAAGCTCAGCTCTGGCATCCGGTTCCAGGAACCGAGAAAATAATCCTAGTGGCGCCCTGAATCATCTTAGAGTCATTTTGTTAATTAAGTTGTTATTGTTTAAATTTAATCCAGGGGCCTTAAGTGCAGGAAATAATAAACCACCCGTTACACTATATAAAATATATAGGTATATAATATATACAGCCGCGCATATTAATTTAAATAGGTATTCAAGTTTATAGTTGAATTGAAAATTGTAAATTCGGCCGTTTCTAAAGTCTAAATGTTGAAAATCTAAAATTATGCCCTTTGTCAAATTTACTAAACCTAAAAAAAAGACTGCTAATATGGGCAAAAAGAATATAACGCCAAGTGTAAATTGAGCGTAAAGTAAAAAATGACAAAGAAAAAATCCGCGAATTTTCGAAAAAGAACATCTAAAAAGGCAGTCACTTAAAAATAAAAAATTCAAATAAAATGCTGCATTAATAAAATAATGCCAATCTGACATAAGCTAATTTATGAAAATGATTCTAAAGAATAATTCAAAGTAACAAATAAACGAAAAAAAATATTGAAATTTGAAAAGATTGTCATTTTTTATTTATTTAGTTAATTTGAATGCCAAGGCAATGGCCGAATGGCAAAAATACAAAAATATAAGAATATAAAGTACATGTAAGAGTATAAACATATCTAAATAAATATTATAACAGTATTTAGATTTCGCTAATTTCTCAAACAATATTATTTTAAATATTGAATTTCCATAAAATTGAAAATCGTAAATGTTGCGGAGGTTTTATCGTAAATTTTATATTTTATTTATAATTGATATAAATATAAATTTATATCAATTGATATTTATTTCAAAATTGAGAAAATTACTCAATGAATAAAAATCAATCTATAGATGTGTCATACATACTCTAAGTAATATAAGAAATACATTCATTCACCCTTATTAACTAATCTATTTATTTTATAATCGTTCGTAAGGAGTAAACTCCAGTCGTGCGTCGGAGCTGACAGACACTTTTTTTTTTCTTGTGTGTGAATATTAGAAAATCGAGATTGTCGATATCGCCACTAAACAGCCAAATGATGTACAATACTTTTTGTCATTATTGCTCAGAAAGTTCAATTTGAGGTATAAAATTAATAATGATATGATTATATTTCATTAAAACAACAACGATAATCTAAATGCAATGTGTGGTTAATTGTAAACGAAATAGCGTCGTAGTTCTTCTACACGGGAAAAATTTTTGGGAAAATTTACGATACAACTATTGTAAAGCTGGACTATACTTTTATTATTATTAATTGTCTAATATTTCTAGAAGAAAAAATACTATTTATTCATGAAAAAATACGATATTATTATTGTAAAAAGTAAGAGATGAAAATTTCCAGTGCTGCCTCTGTATCTTTCCAATACAACTATAGCAAATTTTACAGTAGTTGAATTGTAAAGTTCACAAACACATATTGTATAATTTGCTCTATAGTATTGGACTTTTTAAGACTCTTGCTAGTCTTATTTGTTGGATAAAATTTACAATAGTAGATCGTAAAAATTACTAAATGAGAAGTATAGTCCACCGTTACTATTTTATTTAGTAAAAATTACAATAGTAAAATAGTAAAAACTCCTTCAATTTTCTTTCCGTGTACTAACTTCGCAATAAACTGTAAGTAAAAAAAAAAAAGTAGCGCCACTCTACAGTAACTAAATTGATAAACTACTTAAAGTTGTCGATCGGGAAGCTAGAATGTAATTTTTTTCTTTACAGCCCCTCTTACTTCCGTCCGCTTGTATAAGAAAAGTACAAGAAGAAAGCAGGGGGAGTATATTTTGCAGTGTTAGCCGGAAATAATAGGTAGTGAAGTAGGGTTTTCAGCTATTAATGCCCTTGTGATCGCCACCTACTGCCCAAAAATTGAATTTACTGAGCGAGAATTACGAAAAAAAAGTTTATGATCTTAAGGTTACCTTGTATTTTTCAATGATTTCACAGGCTTTTTCCTCCGAGAGATTATGGTAAAGTATCATGGTAGCTTTGAATATTATTGACCTCAAGACTGTTCTAGTCCCAGAAATCCAGCAGAGTCCAGAAAACCAGACAACTGTTGACGGTGTGGTGTCGTTTGAATAATAGTTGAGCATATGAGCGACGGAATGATAGGAGTGCAACACTCCTTTTGGAAAACTTGTTGAACCAGATGAGTAAATTATAAGCACTGGATCTTTAGGCTCAATTCGCGTACATTGAAATTTGTTAATATCTTCATCGTTCTGGGTTTTCAAAACATCTTCAAAAGATAATAAACCGCTTTTTTTCCCAAAACTTACAATTATCAAGGGATAACTCATCTTGTTTATTGAGTTAGTTATTACGTCGGCATGGTTTTCGGTAATAAACAACACTTTTGGCTGTGTTCTTTCGACGAAATTCACCACGAGCTCTGTAGTGATAAACAAATTTCTTAATATTTAATCAGCTTTATATACTGTTAAAAAAAAAATTCGGAAATTCTCAAAATCTACCAGTTTTAATTAGGTCCAAATTGTATTGAAAATCTAAGTGTGATCAAGCACTTTCAAATGACGCCAACCGCGATCAAATCGGTTGAGACATTCAAAAGTTATGAGAGGTTTACAAACATCCATACACACAGTTAATAAATCATTTGTTGAATGCTATCAATTCTCAAAGCTAATAAATATTGATTAATTATTAACAAATATTGCATGCCTTAAGCGCGAAGCGCGCAGGTATGCTCTACTCTCGCCTAAAAATCATGATTTCGATTAAAACGTGATTTTCATAATTTAAACGAAAAAAATTATGGATAAAAAGCATATTGAAATAAATAATAATAACTACAGAACACGTTAAAAAAATTTTCTTATCGATTAAATAAGATTTCTCAGAAAAAACTCGTTTTTCTGATGAATTAAATGAATAAGAGCGTGGTATTCACGGAAGCACTGGGCTTGATAACACCACAACTTTGTCAAAAATCACTTTCACGATTTAATTTTTTTTTGTTTTATTCCTTAGGAAGTTTGTCAAAACCCTTGTGAAATTTGCGTGTCAAAATAATTCCGTTTCGATACAGTTAATTTTTTTCGACAGTCAGTTCGGTGACTTTTTCTGCGATTTTGGCAGCCATATACCCCCACGAAAATAATATATATACTCGTATATATACGCGGTATATATCCGAGTATATATACTGCGTACATATCCGAGTATATATACTGCGTATATATCCGAGTATATATATTTTTTGCCCACTTATATATACCTGCGCATAGACTGTAGATCTAACAACAGACCAGACTGTAGATCAGAAAAAAATTTTCCGTATAATGGGACACATGTGAGCACAAGTATATCCCATTGATATGCGCAGGTATATAAGTGGGAAAAAAATATATATACTCGGATATATACGCAGTATATATACTCGGATATAAACCGCGTATATATACGAGTATATATATTATTTTCATGGGGGTATATTATTTTTTATAAAACAGGATTGAAATAACTATATAAACAAGCAGAAACTATACATATACATGATGGTATAATTACTAACAGTTTTATCATCTGTTGAAATTTTTTTTTAGCTCGACCTACAGAGGGGATAATACTACACGCGAAAAAATTCAAATAAAAAAACGAATAATTTTTGTTACGATCTAAATAATTTATGTATGACATGAGCGCTTAAGGCATGCTCATTTGGATTTTCCAAACTTTTTGTTTAGACCTTTGACAAAAAGCTGGGAATCGGTTGACCCTAAAATTCATCAATTAAAAATGCATTTAATTTAAATTTTGAATCTTGAAGAGATATCAAATATAGAAATAATAAAAGTGAGATACCTTCGTTTAAACAAGTATGCCACCAAGGATTGAAAATTGCTCCTATGTACAAACAAGCATATAAAGGTATGCAACTGTCCAAATGGTTTCTTGAACAAAAACCAACGACATCTCCAGGACTCACTCCTTGTTCTTTGAGCCATAATGCGCACCTGATACTTTTGTCACCCATATCCGCATAAGTCAATTTAGTTCCAGTCGCCCCGTCGATCTAAAAAATTTATTTATGCCAATAATGAAGTTTTACTCGATCGAAATAGACTACAAGCTAAATTTTTTTTCAAACGCGACAGCAACGCTCACATCTTTAAGATTATTTAATATTTTTTAATACAAAATGTATGGATGGATTTTGCTGAATACATACTGAATAAAATAAATAAACAACGATTATGATATTTCTTCATTTTCTTGATCACAAACATTTCCTTAGAAAAACAAAAAAATTAGGAAAACGGTTGACCCTAAAGACCATCCCTGCAACTTTCCGCTAATTCCATACTAATTGCACCAACTATTTTAGAGCCTAAAATTCCATCCACTAAATTACATAGTTAATTAGCGTTGCTTCTTTTGATAGTAAATATTTTCAATAAAAAAAATTAAAAAAATTGTTTTCATACAAATACGCTGAAGATGAAAGTTTACTTAGTCTATTAATTATGTTGAAAATGAAATACCTGCCCAACAAAATCTGGAAACTTTTTGAATTGATTAAGTACTCTTTCTCCAAGTTTGTAATATCCATCGGGCATATCAATTTTGCCGCCCTTCCAAATTCCGTTTTCAAAAGTTGGTTCTGGAATCTTTTAAGGTTTAGTAAAATTATTATTATTGGTAAGTAATTGTTACTACACAGCATTTATAAAGCCAAAAAATAAAGACAAAACCCTGTTTAAAAAAAGTATTGAGAACAATGGGAACGGAATTGAAAAGAATTACTTTCATAATAGATCGAATTCTTTCCAATTCCGTTTCTATTGTTCTCAATACTTTTTTTAATCAGGGAATTGAGACACAGTATCAATTTAGTATAAATACATACGTGCATAGTTTTTTCTTCAGCCATACTAATATTACTTAGATAAATTCAATTTGTTAATGATATACTATTCAATTATCTTGAAGAGGATATCTTTTAAAAGTGAATTACGTTTAGCGTTCACTTGTCTTAAGATTGAGACTGTTTGAAAATCATAATCTCGCACAGAAGATTTTAAATTGTTTAATAATTTATAACGTGGCTAAATCTTCCACATCAATTTACTGCGATAAACCACCTGACGATTGTGAATTGAGTGAATAAAGTTAGTTGCTTAACTTTGAATAATTTATTCTTTTGATTTAAGATGTAAATTATTAATAAGAGATATCATAAGTCTATATTTATTTTCGCTTAAAAATCAAGATCCCAATGCTTTTTTACATTATAATTTAAAAAAAAAAAAAGGTCTGGTCCAAGATATTACGTATTTTAAAACCTCAATCTCAAGACTTAACACGTGATTTCCATTAATGTAAACTAATGTAACCAATTAATTGCAAAATATACAATCTCTGTATTTTTTCTTGTACGCAGGTTTAAAACCTCTAAACGCAATGAAAAAAATTAGAAAAACGGTTCACCCTAAAGGCCATCCCTGCAACTTCCCGCTCATTTTGTACTTAAACGCTGCAAACTACACATTACGTTTTTGAGCTCTTCGAGCTCAAAAATATTATTTTTGTGTCAATTTGAGCTCTTCGAGCTCAAAACTCTAATAGCAGTTTAAAGACACAATTTTTTGAATTTTCAAACGGCAATAACTTTTGAATGAATGAACCGATTTTCATGCGGTTGGCGGCAATCGACGCAGTTTTTGAAGCTCCATGAAAAATTTTCAAGTTTAAATCGATCGAGCCATGAATTTCGAAGTTATTACAAAAAAACACTTTTTTCGATTTTTTTCGACAACGATATCTTACGAACGCATCAACCGATTCTAACGTTTTTGGTGACGATCGATGGGGGTTTTCAAGGTTAAGAGCTGATTAGTTTTTGAGACCGATCGGTTAAGCCAATTCGGAGACATTTAAAAAAAATAAAAAAACAACTTTTTTTTTCACTTTTTTTGGATTTTCTCGAAATCTACCGGTCCGAATTGGTTCAAATTTTCAGGAAATCTAAGTTTAGTGAAGTCCTTTCGAATGACACCAACCGCGATGAAATCGGTCAAGTCGTTCAAAAGTTACAAGAGGTTTACACACACACACACACACACACACACACACACACACACACACACACACATACATACATACATACAGACGTACGGACATACAGACGTACGGACATCATCGTAAAAATAGTCAGGGAAGCTTCCTGTGACCTTTAAACGTCGAGATCTGATGAAAACTCGATTTTTGTAAAACGGGGTGAAAACAATAACTTCCCGATTTTTGAAAATCTGAGTTTTTTAGCGGGAAGTTAAAAATTATTTATATTATCGATTATTGTCTATTTAAAACTAATTAATAGCTTAACAATAAAATTTATAATAGTTTTTTAGAAACATTAACACAAATTAAACATTGAATAAAACATGAAACATAAATTTTCGATAACTAGGAAGTCACATCGAGATAATTTAATATCGACGGTCGGCATTCGCAATAAAAAATAGTATGTGCAACTCGTGCGACGTTGTCAATTAGTTGCACAATATATTATTAGTATCGATGTTTCATAAAAAATTATCAAAAAAATGAGAATATTATTCAAGTTATTAATGAAAAATTGTAGTATATTTAAACTTTACTTTGGGCCATTTTTGAACCCTCCTTAGGAATTTATCTAACATTATTTTTATTTTTATGTTATTTTTTAAAAGAATCCTCTTTTTGCTCCAAACAATAATTCTTTTAACTTTGCCCTAAAAAAAAAAAATCCTTGCTCAATTAAAAACATTACCAACTCTTAAAAATATCAACTCCTCACTGGATGTCTCAAAATTGTGACCAGCGATAAAAAGAGGCATTCCTAAGCTCTGCAGTTCTCCTCGCTCGTGGCTATCAAAGATATTCAAATGGCAATAGGAAAATAGCTTACAAGAGCTCGGACATAGGGAGATCCGTATAAAATTAGCATAGCATCAGGTCTAAGCGTACTTCTCGAGGTTCTCAGCGTTGCTACCAACGGTGCAGTCCAGGACCCTTAACAACAGGCCAGAACACGATCGTGAAACAAGTCCCGGTACATAAAGAAAAGCCTCTAGGCTTTCGTCTGGTGGGTTAAAAATCCCTTAAACAAAACAGAATTTTTCCTTTAATTTGAAACGTGAATCGTAAATCAAGATCCAGGATATATTTACGTAATGGTCAGCCGAGTACATCTTAATTAGGAAAAAAAATAGTCCTCCCTGGTTGTATCTTAGTAGCTTTATACCTTCAGGAGCACAGATCTCCAGTCAAGTTAAGACCGTCTCATTGCATTCTCATTAACGTCGTCCTCTTGGTTCTTAGCCTCCGTACTACGTACTACGTGCTGCGTACTGGAGATCTGCTGAAAAATAAAAGTAATATAACACATATGTATACACCAATGACTATTTATCTTAGCCCACGGATTCTCGGAAGGTAAACGAACGTCTTTCTTATTATATCTCACATACAGGGTGGTAATTGATCTCCGCAATTCCCAGCACGCGCTAAAGATTATTTAACTTGTCTTTAGCATTTAAACATCTTTATTTTATTTTAATGCTCCTCTGAATGGAATTTTGCTCCTGGAAAGCTTAACGCTGCATTAGTTGCGAGCCTGATAACCTAAAATTTACCGGAGTTATGGTTATGGGCTGGAGTTATAGTTCCAGTTTCTGTCGAGCGAAGCGCTGCCCAAAGCTAAGATGGCTTACTTTATGCCTGGTGGTGCTTAGGTGACATAATTGATGCCCTTAGGAACAGTAATTGCCGCCCAGAGACCGTTCTGCCTTAATTTATTATCTTGGGCGAGCAGGAGCTGCAGGACGCCTTAATTGCTCAAGGATTTACTCTTCTGACCCTAGATCGTTAAATATCAGGTATCACTCTGGGCTAAGATCAATAAATGTTTATTTGCAAGCTCGCATGTGCAATGCCCATTAAGGAGGAAACTCAGGCATGCATTATGCTATGGTGAATGTTCGACAATTATGCTGACTATTTTCAAACTTAATTTTCTTTTAAATTTTCTGCTGAAAATTACCGGACTGGATTATAATCTAGTGCGCTGCTTTACCATTCATTTACTAGTAAAATAAATACTTTTTAAAGTTTATGACAATAAAATTTACCGAAGTTTCTTGTAAAATAAAAACAAAAATTTATGCAGTTTACCGCACACATGAAATAGAATTGAATGTTTAGTTAATTATTTTAATTTAATTTATTTTTCAAGGTTATTTCGGTAGACAATACCATTACTTAGATTCATTTTTACTAGGGACTCCGGTTATTTTTTTTTAGTACCTTCAGTAAAAACATTTAATTTACAGTAATTTGTAATTCTAAAATAATTAGTGAAAAATAATTTTTCATGTTTATTATTCTTAATTAGATCAAGCATTGCAGCATGTTCCACGATACTGTTATTTTCACGGTAATTTGAAAAGAAATTTATTTTGGTGTAGGCAACAAAGCTCTATTTTTGAATTCAATAAGATGTTGAGAGTTATGGACCAGTTACAAATCTGTGATATCGTGACCGGAATCGCCGCTAAAATCTGTGTTGTAACAATCTACGTGGACGCATTTGTGGATATGTAATGTAATAAAAATATATATATACTTTCACTCGCGAGACTTTGTTTATTATAGTCGAGAGTTTACATTAGTGTGTCATGAATAACTTTCGATTTAAATCGTCAATTGTGTAATACTCGAGATGAGATAAAGAAACTCAACTATTTTTTAAATGTTTGTAGATTACCGTCAACCTTCTCTTGGTGAAATAACTTTTTTTCGTTTTATCTTTCATTCTTTCTTTCTTTCGATTTATTTATAGTCTCGCCTTTTTTGTTATGGATTGCTGGTGGTCTGAATTATTGTTAGAGAAGTAGTCAGAATAAGCATAGGAAAATTTAGAACTAAAAAATACTAAATCTCAAAATTAACTAAAATTAACAAAATTTATAGCTGTTACAGACAATTTTACGGTAATTAGTCCTTTAAAAATTTTATTTTCCCCTCAAATCAACGAGGAATCCTTTCAAGGTCGTACGGCAGATTTCTATAAAATTCTAAATTTTTTTTTTGATATTTCTAAATTTTAAAATTTTGTCTTCATTGCCAATTTTTATTATTTTTTCGAGAACTTTTGATAATTCGTTCTTTAACACTTTTACTTGCTTCCGAATTTAACAAAAACTGTTCAAGCAACGTTATAATTGTTTTTTTGGACCATATTGGATCTCAAAAATTGACAAAAATTTCCTAATCTCCATAATTTTTGAGGATATTTTTCAATAACTGAGCCTTCAAAAATTTTGCTTCCTCAAAAATTGAACGAAAATTCCCTTGTTAAATCCTATGAAAGTCTTTTACATAGTTATACATTTTTTGGATTTATGTAGATCTCAAAACTTACTGAGAATTCCTAATTTCTATTATTTTCTCGAAAATTTCCTACTGTTAGTTCTCTAATATTTTTTTTCCCCTCTTAAATTGAGCAAAAAATTCTTCATAAGGTCATATCGAAGGTTTTTAAAAAATTACGAATTTTTCAGATGTCGTTAGATCTTAAAACTTTGTCAAAATTTCTAAAAACGATCGAAAATTACAAAAAAAATCATACATTTCATTTTTTTTTTATTTAGAGTCTTCATGCCATAAATACTATGCAAATTAAAAACATTGATATTCAAAGAATTTATCACCCGCGGCAAAATAATAATTTGCGAAAAAAACTCGATGACATTTCAATTGTTAAAAATACTTAAAAATTCAAATCCTGTCGAAATATAATGTCGAAAGAGTAATTTATTAAAAAAATCCATTTATATTTACAGGCATATAGCGCCATAAAATATTTAAAATATACACGTATAATGTATA